ATGCATCATTAAAATGAATTAGCACACGTTGAGATTAAATGATTATTTCATATAAACTTTTCCAGTGGAAAAAAAAGAAGATTGCAAATGCCATGAATACAGTCACATATTCTTCTTTGATATACAATAACACTTCATGTTGCTGTGTGGGAGAGAACTACATCAGAAAAAAAGTTTGTGCATGGATTTATAAATACTTGGTCAAGTATTGGTTACACATTTCTTCCCATTTCAGGGTTTTATTTCTGGCTTGTGGTTGTTTTGAAAAGTAAAATGTGAACCAAAATAAAGCAGGCAAAGACAGCCAAAAATGCTTTTGCATGGGGAATAAAATTCAGGGCAGAGATAGATATATCAGAGTCCCGCATGACTTAAAACAGAATAGCAAAATCTTCCGAAGACTGGTTTTGAATAACTCTGAAATATAAAGAAGTGTGAGTAAATTTTGAGACTCAGTGGGGCCTAAAGTACTGGAAGTAGCCCAAGGACACAATGGCTATATTTTTTACAATGCATTTAGCCAAGCTTTGGGATGACAGTTCTTGATTAAGCCATGTGAGCTCAATATACAAATGCAACATTATAAATCATGGTTTGTAAACTATATTGGTAGGTTTACATAGCACACTAACCAAAATAAAAAAAGGAAGTATATTTTAATATGCATAATTTAGCAGGTTAGGCTGAAAACAAAGAGTCAAAGCTAGATTCACACAAAATGTAACACTGTAATGTGAGTTGTCTGTTTTAGCTTGGCCTGTTGTATACACCCTGTCCCAGATATTTTCCTTTCAGTCTATATACATCATGGAGTTGTTGGATTTAAAGCCAAAGGTTATTGTTTAAAAGCCAACTTTAGAAAGACAAAACTGTGATACTGGCTTGGCTTGGCTTGGCTTGGATTTAGTTCAAAGTAACAGCAGAAGTGGTGTAAACCTACTGAGGAGAAAGAGGACATCAACTCTCTTTCTGACATCATTTTTTTAAATCTAAACCATCCCCTTTAGCCTTGTTGATGCTAACTTGGGACTTATACAGGAACAACACTGGACTTTAACCACAAGAAAGGTGATTTAGCTTGAAGGAAAGTTAGAAGGGAAAAACTATTCTCTGTGAGTGTCAGTAGAGCCATCCACTTTAAACCGAGCAGAAGCAGGCAGCAGGCAGGAAATCTTGCTATCCAAGAGTCAAAATTTTCCCACATTTCTATTAAGACATTATGTTTACTAGACCAGTTGAAGGTTACAAAAAGCATGCAGACTTTTGAATTTCCGAGCACTCTTTATCTTACTTAAGAAAGAATTTCAGAAAACTTCCAACTTTGCATAACTGTTCTAGTTAAAGTGGTAGGGGAGTGTATGTTCTGTGCCCAGCACAAGAAAAAGATCTCACCACTGCATTCCCTTTCAAGGCAGTGAAGAATTATGTCAAATGGTAAAGACTAACACATAAATCCCGAAGCAGAGAAGGTCTTTGTCAGATGTCTACAGAAGTGGAAGCCAAAATGGTTGCTAGGCTCAGCCATAGAGTTGCATGAAAAGATGCTTGAAAAATTATTAATCTGATCACTGTCATCTTGATTGCTGCCAACAATGGTTTAATAAGTAAACATTGTAACTGCTGGGTGATGGAAGTTTTAATTGCCAAGCAATTATCACTTGGTGATTTCAGTGTGTCTCGTGTGTTGATTTGCAATGTAGAAAGTTGTCACAGGTCAGCAGGAACATAGGCAAAGATGAAAGGGGTGTTGGAAGGTATATAGGAAGGGGAGTGTTGAAGACTGGGTCACAAATCTATGTTTCTTGTTACACTTACACATACACATGTTACAGGGGTGGGATTCTACCAGTTGCACCTATTCGCTAGAACCAGTTGTTAACATTTTAAGCAGTTCAGAGACCTGGTTATTAGAAGACATTACTGGCCTAATCCTGTAAGGAAGGCAGGATGGAAATATTCTGGTGTTGCTTACAGAAACTGCCTCTCCGTTGACCCTTATTACATTCTTGGCAGGATTAGACTTCCTGTCTCTGGAACTTCTCTGGAGTTTTTTTCCCCCTCCTTTGCTGGTACTTTGCTTGTGTAGAGTGACCATTCAAAGTTACAATGGCACTGAAAAAAGTGACTTATGACTTTTTTCACACTTACGACTGTTGCAGCATCCCCACAGTCATGAGACGCCAGGTGAGGAGATGCATGCCTCGATGTGAGTGATATTGAGTTGGCCACACATAGCCAATAATATGACCACCAAGCCATGTCCACTCAGTCACATGGCCACCAAGCCACGTCCACCAATTAACCCACGCCCACAGAACTGGTTGTTAAAAAAATTGAATCCCACCCCTGACATGTTACCTTGAATACTTTGCTTGAAAGCAGAGGTGTACAATCCCTGGCCCATTGGGTCTGTGGTCCATTGGGACCAGGCTACACAAGTGGTGAGTGCACAAAGCTCCATATGTGCTAGTGCTGTATTAAGCTGCACACATGAAACCATCCCCTTCCCCGGCTGCTGCAATTGCTACCAGTCCATGGAGCTGCAAAGGTTGTGGGACCACTGCTTTAAAGGACAAGGACAGGAATAGCCAATCGATGCATTTCAATGGGAAATCCACTAAATTACAGCTTTGCAAATAGCTGAACTTTTTTTTTCAATGCCCAAGCCTGTGAAATGTTGCACATTTCTGGGCTGGAAAAAGATTGAATTATGTTGTAGGGAGCTAGGTGCCCTGCCTGAGCTTTATTTCATTCATTCATTCATTCATAAAATGTATATGACCAACCAACTCACAAAGACTCTAGGTGCTTACAGAAATAAAACCCCAAATACAAATCCATTATTCACCCTCCTGGTAAGAACAATCAGACAAACCACTTCAGGTGTTCCATATCACCCTGGGGTCCCCAGACTCATTGGTAAAACCATGTCTTTAGGGTTTATCAAAGAGTATCAAATTTATGTGGAGATGATGTTCCACAGGGAGGGAGGGAGCACAGAGAAGGACCTTCTTCTTGCTCTCATTAAATAGATCTCCATAATGGAGGGGACCTGAAATATATCCTGCCTCCGCACTTTGGTGTGTCAGGCAGATGTAACTGGGAAAAGACAGTTCATCAAATAACCTAGCCCCAAACCACATAGGCCTTTAAAAGGCGACAACCAGTATCCTGAATTAAACTCACTCAGAATCGCCTCGAACCGTATATAAATGTAATAAATAAATAAACAAGCCCAGAAGCAAACTGGCAACTAATGCAGATTCCACAAAAGCTTAATTCAGGATACCAAGAAGAATCTAAAGAAATTAAACTTATTGGAAGGACAAAGTCTTTTTGAGTTAAATTGAAAAATACAATGCTATCAGACTATTAGCATATCTGTTTAGAAACCTATTTAAGAACATTGTTCTTGACAACTTTTGCTCAGTTGAGGAATGTTCTACTTCAGACAGCTTGAAGATATCAAAACTTGGGAAGGATAAAGATAATTACAAAAGTTGAGTGATTGGATACTGAAATTTCTGATGACCTCCTGATCTGTACCCACTATCCATTTTGTCCCCTCTGAAAACTCTCTTCCCTGAAGGTGAGATGACCCTTTCTAAAACAGCTAAGAGTGAAGTGAGAAAGGAGTTGGATAACATTATGTTATCTAGTAAGAAGATACTGCTATAGTAGATGACTTCCCACTCTAGGTCTTTCTCTAGGCCACAGTGAAGATTTAAACCAGTAAACAAGCTCTTATGTGAGAAACAATGTGTCAGATTATAATTGGCTCATTACAGGAAGGATCAGCATTATTTTTATTATATATTTTACTTGTTGAAACCAGTGAAAAGTTGTTACAACTCTGCACAATTCAAAGAAAATTCTAAAGTATTTTGAATAGAGATGCAAGCACTGCTATTCATTATGTTAGCAATATCTTTTTTTTTTTGTCTTTAGTGAGAATAATTAAACCATCACATTTCAAATATAACTTCCTTATAATGAAGCAGGGGTTCTTTTTTAAGACATATATGGAAGTCTCAATAAAGGATAAATGTGCTTTAAGGAATAGCAGAAAGTTTGCATATTCACATGAAATCCAATGCATTTCTTCCAATCATGTTTATGCAAGCACACCCCTAAATCACTTTGTCTATAATATAATATGGTGAATCTACTGTAAGAAGTACTGTAATTTGTGGATCTTATCCAAGGCTGTATCAAATCAATGAATGGCTTCAGATTCATGACCACCTCCAGTTATACATGGAATATCCTGTTCTCATCTGAAGAACATCATCAGAACTTTCCACAGCCATACCAAGCAGTTGATAGCAAAACCAGTATAATATAAAGTTTAGAAGTGAAGGTGTTGTGTTGCTGCAATTAAGCCGTTATCAGAAGCAAACTCCCACTGTGATGATCTATATTGCCCTACATTACCCTAGACATATCCAATATCACTTGAAGACATCAAATAAATCAAGGCAGTTGTCCAAAGAATTATTTCCTTATACTCAATATATAGAACTAGACTGCATCCATGCTTCTACTATACTAGTCCATAATAGAAATTTGTCTAATCTCCTTTGAAAGCCAACTAAACTGATGGACAACTCCACTCCTTGGAGCGATAGATTCTACAGGTTGATTATATGCTATATATAGATATATTTCCTCTTATCTGTTTAAGTCTTCTGTTCAGATTCAACGGATTGCTTTTAGTTCTAAGTGATAAGGGAGATGGTGTCAGCCAGTACAAGAATGAAACTGCAGGAAACTGGAAAAATTGTTTTAAGAAACAGGCAGACTGTAGCTTGAACTACGGTTAAGCAGAACCTGGGTGCTGGTTTTTAAAACACAAGAAAATAAATACATGTTTATTTATTTATTTATGGTATGGCACATCATACACGGACCAGCAATATATATTAACATTTCACCTAGATTAATTAATCAACTGCCTCCATTAACAGCTTCTTGCCAATTCTCTCTCCTCTCTTCCTCAGCTACGTTTTTCCCATCTGCTCACCGTGTGAAGAGGTCCTCAGCAGTTCTTCTCAACCCAGTGCTTCAGAAATCTCAGGAAGATGTGGATCTTCTATTTGAGGTTTAGTATGAACCAGAGTATAGTTTCGAATTCAGCCCTTTTGGGGAAAGGACTCTAGCAATGGGTCAAAAAGATGACACAACTTCATGGCAGCTAAAAATCATGAGAAAAATCACAGATACTGTAACCTTGTGAAGTCATTGTGCAGGTTTCTGATGTTCTTCCAAAACAGTTTCAGAGATATATTTTTGGACTCATCTGAAGCAAAATCTTCACACCCCTCTTTATCCTGATTCCAGTGTTGTATTTAAAAAATAAATACATTAGATATACTGTATGCTTTAGCCTTCAGTTATATTATTAAGGGGGCTTATAAAAATCAATTAATAATTATAAAAAAATCTTCATTCTCCATTCCAGTTATGGTAAACAAAGCAAAAAAGTAACACAATTTATTTGTTAAGTATAATTTTTTCTATTTTATTTATTCATTTCATTGGTTAGATCGTACCTATAATGCACATGCAATATACAGAATAAATGAACTATTCTTAATCGAATGCAATTTGAACAATACAGAAATGATTTTAACAAAATACCATAGCATACATTAGTGAACAGTAAATGTAACAATGATATCTCAAGGGTGATCAGAGGTTCAGGAAAATCTGCTGGTATAGATGAACCTGAAAGTAACTTAGAACAGGAAGAGAAAGAGCCAGCTTTTCCTACATTGTATTCTGATTCTGTAAGCTTTTAGGAATGCCACATAGTTACCTAAGAAGTTGAGACCCTCCCTTTAAAAAGTGAAATATTCAGTCTGGAATGTTTGGCAAAGACAAAGAATCCATTGCCAGAGTAGTTAGTATAGATTGAACTGATTCAACAGAAAGCAGCATTCTAAATAGACTCCAACTCTATGGATTCTAATGGATGGTCTATCTATGAGATCTAGTTTTTTATGTACATATATTTTCTTCATTGGAGAAAGCACTGAATCTGATGATTCCCCAAGGCTTTTCCAAAGTGATTCCATTGATTATTCAAGGGATTGCAGTCCTATCAATTAAAGTAGCATTTATTCAATTATTTTCATACAATCTGAAACTTCATGGAAAGGACAATGAGTGTAGAGCTGGCAATCCTTGCTCTATGTTAATCCAGACATAATTTTAGCACCTCATGTATTGATTTATAAGAACTTAACCAGAACCAGTTTAAAACTTCTGTCCCCCATGCTTTCATCCCAGTTTCTTCTAGGTGAGCTGAAAATTGATGATGACCTAAAAATCACAATCAAAGATGAGGAACTCGCTTCAACCAGGAAGGCGATAACGTTTGACACCGTGTGTAATGATGTTATCCCCAAAAGTATTACAGAAATACGCAGATTAAGCTCCAGGCTGTCAGGTTTCCCTGGCATGTTAAAGAAAGAAGATTTTGAAAGGACGGTATTGACGATGGTCTACACAGCATACAGGACAGCTCAGTCCCAAGGACATCAGAAAGACACCTGGGCAGAAACCTTTGTAAACCTTTACAAACTTGTGATGCATGACTTGAAGTTGCTATACAGCCAGGCTCCAACTTCTCAGAGAACATGATGCACCAGAAACAATATCAACAATATATCTGCTGCTTCATTTTGATAAGTAATAAAAGAAACAAACTGCAGGCTTGGAGATATTTCTTAATCTCTAGCTCCTCCTAGAGAGAATCCGTTGTAAAATCTTCTATAAACGTTTTCCAAATCACCTAGCCTTTTCTTTTTATGTGTAATCAGTGGACTGCAAATCGTTTCTTGTTGTGTATTTTTTATTTTATTCCCACCAATGTCTTTCCCATGTCTGTATAGATTATAGCTGACACAAACTTTACTCCAGCCTTTAAATACAACAGTTAAGCTATGCTCATTCTTGATGGATAAGTGGGACTCATAAAACTTGCATTTTTTTTCCTGTTCTCTTTTAAAAGGTGAGGGGAAAATGCTGATCTCAGTCCTTTTGGAAAGTCCATCTTATTATTATCTCCCTCCCCACAAAATACATTCTTTCTCCCCTCTTCTGTCAAGAAGCATTAGTTAAGAGATGAAGCAATGTGTTCATTTAAGGGAAAGGATAAGGCTATCCTCCTCTCTCTCTCCCTCCCTCTCCCTGTTTCCTTTATTCTTTTTCTTCTCTTATAGCTGATATATTAGTAGCAGTAGAACAAAGTTTAAGCAAACATTATAAAAATGATTCTTTCAAAGTTTGCTGCCACAGCATTCGGAAAGGTTTACTATATAACCATATTCCGATTAAGCTATTATTATCTCAGGTTTCTTTAAAAAAGAATGTCTGTTTTCACATTTCTTCAAAAACAATAAGATGCTGGGTGTTTTTTCTCTGGGGGCTTGCAATACAGAATACACTGAAGAAAAAAATGTAGTATAAAATTGCAAAGTAGATTACTGCTACTTCCAGAGGAGGATAGCTGTTTAGATACAAACAATTTCCAACTTCCTACTGGCTTCCCCATTGAATTTCCTTGTGGAAATCTGGAAGATATCAGATATCTCCCCTCCCTTTCTGGCAGGTAGTGCTGGTGCTGGATAAGGAAGGGAGTGAGTGATTGTGAGACTGGCTATAAACAGTCATCGGACATTGAACAAAACTGCAGCAGCAGCCATTAGTACTAAGGTAACCATAATCGCCCCAAATTTCATTCCCTCAGGAGTCATGGGTTCTGGAAATACCTTGGTTCAAAAATTGGTGCCAGTTTTGTTCAGTTAAAGGTCATGACAATGAAAATTTTAGCAGTATATAGATACATCGGTGATAAAAAGCCTTGATAAGAGCTTGCCGGATTGATCCCAGCTTTGCAGAAAGGTTCTCCTCATTTAAAATTAAATCAGTAAGGCCTTACTTCCAACTAAGTTACATAAAGGTTTCCAACCTCAATTAAACTATGTTAGTTCTTGATTTAATTTTCTCTGCAATCTTAAATGAGAAATCAGAATGAGAATCATTCCAGACTGATAATCTGATCAATTCAACTATTTACATTTAGAGTAATCCGTTCAGAAGATAAGAACGTAATTACTTTTACAATGAAAAAAAAAAAACCATCCTGAGTTGTACTTCACCATGATTAGAGACCAGATATTATTAAAAGAAGAATAAAAAACCCATCTTTACAACTGGGACTTTTCTAAACAATTTTTAAAAGCTAATCCTACCATTAGGCAGGTGCTGAGGGAGGGAATGCCAATAAAGACAAAGCAGTTTGTATCTTGCACTTTTTAGTAACCTTTATCTCTGATGTGCCATATGAACACCATCCAGTTATCGATGTTGACTTAAGATTGAATTCCTAGTCATGTGGAAGCCAAACAATAAAATAACTTAGGACAGCCCTGGTTTTCCACAAATTATGGAGAGTCAGCTTTTATTTTCTTTAAAAAAATTATTTGGAAGTCCAAGAGCTAATATTTATAAATATTTCCAAAACAATGCACCAAGCTGAGCCAGGATCTTAGTATGGTGTCAAGCCTAGCAGTGACGCTATGTGGGCTCAGACATCTGCAAAACAATGGTAGATCAAAGTCTCCACTGGCTGTGAAATGGCACTCTTCCCTCTCTGTGAATCTTGTGATTGAATAAGGCATGACTTGGGTCAGATTCCTGATGAGTTTCCTATGTGGCTCATAGATTAGTCTGGAGTTTTTTCAGGTCCATCAAAGCAGGGGTCTCTAACCTTAGCAACTTTAAGACTTGTGGACTTCAACTCCCAGAATTCCTCAGCCAGCTGGCTGAGAAACTCTGGGAGTTGAAGTCCACAAGTCTTAAAGTTGCCAAGGTTGGAGACCCCTGCATCAAAGGACCAACTAATGGCAGTTGATCCGTTTGGCTGAGAAGGAGAAAAGAAACCCAAGCTGTATTTCTACTGGACCGAAATCACTGTGAGATGACAAAAGTGACAATCTTTGGGAGTAGGAGCAGGGGTGGGCTTCAAAATTTTTAGCAAGGAGTTCTCTGCCCAGTTGCTGGGTGGGCGTGGCCATGAAGGGCGTAGCCTAGTCAACCTCCTGCACCACAGTGGGGGGGGGGGGTGTTTTTGCCCTCAGGGACTTTCCTTAAGCCTCCATGATGGAGAAAACAGCCTCCTGGGCTCTGGAGGCCCTCTGGAGGCCAGAAATGGACCCATTTCTGGCCTTCCCGAACTTCAGGGAGGCCCGTTTTTCATCCTCCCTGAGTTTCCACATGTGCCTTGCACTTACCTGCATCCAAAATGGGCCGAGTGGGGACTCCTGGGAGGGGTGGGGTGGGGTGGGCAGGGCCAGCCAGAAGTAACATTTGGGGGTTCTCTGAACTATGCAGAATCTTAGCTAGACATTCTCCCGAACCACTTGCAAACTCCCAGCAGCCCACCCCTCAGTAGGAGGTATCTTTCCCCATTGTGAAGATAGAAACTTTCATTTGGATTGTTTTGGTCCATCAAGACCATCCTTACTACTGGTAACTACAAAAATAAGTCCTTGAAGTTTCTCGGTAACATTTTCAGAAGCAGTTTGCCAATAATTTCTTCCTAGAGATGAGAGCGAGTAATTAGCCAAAACTCATCCAGTTGGCATCCATGTTAAAGACAGGGCAAAGAGTCATAAACTTCCAGCTTCTAAGCAAGTGCCTTGGCTACTAGACCAACATATCTTCCTTGAATCAAGTGGATATCTCAGGATAGTCATTTACAGAGCTCTGTAGGAAGAAAAAAGTGACCACAAGGATCAGAAAGAGGAAGGAGACGACATGAGATACATTTAGTATTATAGCCCTATTTTAATTAATATTCATTAAGAATATTCTTCCAATGCTGTGGGCAGTTATAAGAGTACCTCAACCATTAGTTACTGCCATTTACAAAAGCCAGTGTCACTGTTAGATATTTACATACACACCTCTGATTGGTTGGTCTGCGGCGGTGGGAATTTAAAGAGCCGTCACTGGTTGTAGCCGGGAGCAGCTCAGTGGTAAGAGGAGCTGCCACTGCTGCGGCTTTGTTCTGAACAATGCAATAAAGAAGCTAAGCAGTCGGAGCCTCCCATGTTATCTCTTGCCTACAATTTAACAGTCATCAAGCCATATATTCTGACTGAGTCTTGGAAAGCCACATGATGTTCTTTGCTGTAGAAGTAAAATTGTCTGTTCATGCATGCAAATTGTTTCAGGGATCTGTCTAATAATATGAAGTAGGAGAAAGCTTAAGTGGCAGAGTCGTTAAGCAATGGCAGCTTTATAGAGAAGAGCCTTAGCATTCTCCAATTTATCTTTGAAGTGAAGGTGAGGTGAAGATTCTTCAAAGTTTATGAGCCGGTCTCACTGAACCGAAATTGTCAGTGGTTGTCAATAGTCAGAGTAAGGGAAGGTAGAGAGGGAGAAGGAATTATCTAATTTTCTTCCAGGATGTAAGAAAGGTTTGTTTTTTTTTAAAAAAAAAAAAAAACCTTACTTGCAAACTGGGAGGCATGGTTTAAGACAGGGCTCTCCAACCTTGGCAACTTTAAGACTTGTGGACTTCAACTCCCAGAATTCCTTACCAGCACTGACTGGGGAATTCTGGGAATTGAAGTCCACAAATCTTAAAGTTGCCAAGGTTGAAGACCCCTGGTTTAAGAGATAGATACTTAGCAGATTTGTACAACTTGCAACTATTTGTTTCGTGACCAGTTGAAGTTATGATAGCACTGAAAAAAAGTGACTTATGGACAATCCTCACACTTGCAACCATCACAGTGTCCCGGGGGTCATGAAAGCTCCATTCATGACCTTCCCAGCTGGCTTCCAGATTCACTTAATGACCATGTAATTAATAACTGGAATGATTCATTTAACAATCATGGCAAAAAGTCATAAAATTGGGTGTGACTCAATGGAAGAGTCTGTATTGATAGCGATCATAAATCTCTCCCTTCTCATTTTTCCAGTAGGACCAACTGAACCTAAATGAGATCACAATTTGATCTCACCCCCTCATGTTGTAACAAAGAATCAGGGGAAGTTTTTGTCCTTTAGCATACCTTCACTTACTGAAATATCCCAATCAAGAATATTATAGTACTGGAGGTGCCCCATCTTTCCATTTAAGATTACCTTTAAAATATCATGAAGAAAGATGACAGTATGTGTCAGATATGCACAGTGCAATTGTTAATTAAAGGTAACTGTAACTTCTCTCACAGGAAACCTATATCTGCATAACTAACCCCTCTTCTCCTCCCTTCTTCAGCTTCCATCTCACTCCAGTTTAAGTCCTGTGACTGTCTACCCATTCTATGCATTGATCAAGTGAGCTGCTGCTCAAAAAAGCATATACTTTTAAATAAAATATGTTAGTCAGGAAAAGTGCTACCATATCAAGATGTATAATTAGAGAACCAGTGGTAAGGTTAGTAATACATTACATAACTGAATCTTACTGATGAGAAACCAGGAAAGATGGAACAAAAACTTTATTTATAAAACTAAGTTGGATCCGGGAGGAAGGCAATGGAATCTTCTGAGTAGATTCAGCCATTATTGTTGGGACAAACTAACTATCAGTCAATAGCTTCAAAGTTTTCTTTCTTTCCTCCCTCCCTTCCTCCTTCCCTCCCTCCTTCCTACATGATAGCAGTGTTCCAATATTTGAGGGGCTGCCAC